TGGAAAAATTACACTTCATTTGTGAAAACACGAACTCGAGCCACCGAGATTTGTCAAGCGCTAGCATAGTGTTGAGACCAGCCAACGATTGTTGATACACCTATTTTACGTGCGCTGCAAGTGGCTCTAGTGTACTTCTGCCACTTCGTAAGGGTTTGTGCGACAGCATTTATCGTTAACTTCATTTATTGCAAGCTTACTAGTTCCACCATTCTTTCGACATACACTCAGCGCAGGAAGGTAGTCAAATCCTGACGTTGCTGCGCTGTTGACGATGATGGCAACACACTTTATCCATGGGACCTGTGTCTCAGTGCAAGGCGAGTAGTCGAAAAACGGAATCATCATGATAACTAAGGCTTAGGATGATATATCTGTGATGAAGAGCTGTCAGCTCGTGGGCAGTTTCATCACAAAACTTGTCGCGAAGGCTTTAATGGGAGTGGATAGTGTTGAAGCGCTGAAGCAGGTCTAGTCAATGCTTATCAATCCAAGTTAAAAACGCGGAAAAATATGCCACTGCAATCCTTGTCGCTTGAGCAGGTAGGTGTTATAGTGCGATGGAAGTTGCGAAGACTGTTGCTTTGCTAGAGCTATCGTGAAGCTGCTGGAATCTTTGTGGATGATGCAAATCCTAGCTGCCTCAGACCGGATTCATACAGGTATAATGAGACTGTCACCTACGTTAGCCTACCTCGGTGCTATTGTTGTACGTTTCTAAATGGGTCTTTACGCTAGCCAGTACCTTCGTCAAGTCTTTGGTCTCATCATCTAGCTTTCTACGTCCTTTTGGGTGTGGAGTAGAATGCCTTGCGTTTTAAAGACACTAGACAAGCTGGTTTGGCCAAATCAAGTTAAAAATGCGGTGTTATGCACGTAGAAGTTGAGTCGCATTACCTCCGCATCAAACTCATCAATGACTAAACAAAAGTAGAAAATCTCCGCATAAACATGAAAACAACCAACATGAAACACACGCGCAACTTCTGATAACACAACTTTGGTATATAAGTGGAAGACAATTAATGGGAAACGTAAGAAGCAACCCCGTAACAAGGGGGTTCCTTTTTCAAGAAAGCGCACCCATAGGGTGAGTATTCAGCTGCTACACACACATGTAAAGTACTGTAAAAAGAATGTTAAGCAAAGAGTAAATACACAATAGGTTAATAAATAGCATAGATAGACGTAAGATTACAATGTAAAGTTGCGTGTAAAATTCAGAACAATCGAGGTCTGGTTTTACAAAACGCACCAAATACGAAATCGCTGGTGAGTGCTAAGCACTTGTACGAGCATGAATAGGTCTTTATCTACGTTTGGTTAAGGAAGTTGATATATAATCAGACATTGAAGAGGGTGACCTGTCTCGCTGAAGCAAGCCTATTGCATAAGTTGAACAACTGAAAACCTATTTATCAGTTAGGAAGCATTAAGCTATGGGGTTAGAACACTTGAATGTTTTTGTGGGTAATAGGGAAATACGAATGAGAGTAGAACAAAAATGACTGTGTTCAGATACGGTGGTGTTGGCTGGTGACCTAAACGTCCAAGTCGGAAAGTTGTCCTCTGATGAGCTTCATTTGGGCGGACAACATGGTGTAGGCTAGGGTAGTGATGACGGTGAGCCATTACTACAGCTGTGTGAAGATGCTCATCTCATCCTTGCGAGCACAAACTTTCGACACAGTACCCGCAGAAGCGTGACTTGGGGTCCATCAGCCTCGGGCCAGTAATGGACGCAAATCGATCATATCGCGATCAGGTACCGCTGGAGAGTCTATGTCCAAAAGTGGCGCTCGATTAGGAGCACGAGCCTGGACTCTGACCATACACTTCTCTGCGCTGACCTCCTGGTGCGTTTCGGTGTACGTACGCCACGTTAATGTGAACGGATTGACACCAGCCAGCTGGCAAAGCCAGATGCTCCGAATGGGTATCAAAGTGCGCTGACATCCGGGCTGAGTAAGCGCCCACTGAACACCGTCGATAATCACCGGTTGCATATTCGTCAAGCGTTGCTGTTAGCAGGCATGTCTTCTTGTGGCAAAGCAAATTGCCAAACCGGACATTGGGCCTCTACACAGTCTCTGGAAGTTATTGATGCTCGCCGACGTATTCCGGTTGGAAGCGAATACAAGGAGGCTAGCAAAAATCTCAGGGCACAACTGCATGCTTTCATGTATCACGCAGCCTGGTGGTCTTATCGTGCCTCGACGATGGAAACAGCCGCTACCGTTAGTAATCATCTTAAGTTATTCCATCCACTACGGGCAACAGGTAGCATAACACCTGGTGTTAGCGATAACATACGCGACGAGAGTGGGCAGCCGATGCACAGCCTGTCTAAGAGCTTGGGGCGCTGGGCCGAACACTTTGCAAGGCAAATCAACCAACCTCAGTTATCGCCTTCTCTTTCGGGCATTCAGTGCCCTTCTCCATGAGTCGTCTCCTTAGGTCTGCCTCACGCGCAGAAGTCAAACGTGAGATCAGACTGTTGACATTACATAAGGCCGTTGGTGCAGGTGGAATTCCCACAGTTCTCTACAAATTCGAGGGATCTGCTCTTGTGGATGATTCACACGAGTTACTAATGGAAGGTTGGGAGCAGGAGACTGTCCCGACAGACTGGAGCCGCTCCGTCATAGTTCCAATATCCAAGGGAGACTCACGTTCGGATTGCAGCAACCATAGAGGGATAAGTCTGATCTCAATTGCCTCTCAATTAAGTGCCACTGTCGTTCTCCACAGACTGACTGGCACTCGTGAAGGCCAGATCCGCGAAAAGCTAGCCGGGTTCCCTCGAAATCGAGGCTGCATCGATCACATTTACAGTTTGTGTCAATTTTTGGGGGCACCGCCATGTTTATTAATGACCCACCGTTGTCGTGTTTCTGGACATCAATGGTGCCTTCGATTCGGTGGGAGGATGTGCCCTTTGGGACTGCCTGCTGAGGAAACGTGTGCCCGATAAATATGTAAACATTATCAAAGCGCTGTACGTGTATACTTCAGGCAGAGGGTTTATGGCAAACTGTCGCCGCCCTTCAATGTCACCAACGGTGTGAGACAAAGTTACCCGTTGTCACCTTTCCTATTTAACTTCGCTATTGATGAAGTCATGGAAACAGCGTTCACTAGACACGACCTAGAAGGTGTGGAGCTACTTCCTGGTGGGCAACTTCTTGACTTGGAGTACGCGGAGGACACTGTCCTCCTATGTGACAGCTCAAAAACGTGCCAGGCTGCACTGCAGCGATTAGCACATATTGGCAATCGTTTTGGGCTATGCTTCGCTCCATCGAAATGCAAAGTTCTCCAAGCTTGGCAGTGACCCACCCCTGCACTAACCCTTGGTAGTGATCAGATAGAAGTCGTTCAGGAATACAAGTGCCTGGGCAGCTATATTAACGCCCGTGGGATCGAAGCTGTGGTTACTAACCGTATAGCAAAATGCTCGAAGTACTTTTGCCAATCTCCGCCACCAGTGGAGCAGACGCGACATCACTCTTTCACTGAAGGGTAGAGTGTATAATGCGGACTTCCCTTTAACCCTCCTATACCGTTGTGAAACCTGGCGCATGAGGTCAACAGACATAAAGTGGCTGGTCGCGTTCGATCATCGCGGCCTTGACATCTTACATCATGTCTGGTGGAAGCACCGCGTAAGCAATGAGCGCATTCGGCGTCGTGCATTTGGTGCAGGAAGAGCGAGTGAACAGCTCAGCACCATTAGATCATGCGCCAGGCTCCGATGGCTGGACCACGTGTTGCGCATGTCAGCACACCGACTCCCGCGACGTGCGTTGTTTGCGCACGGGGAATGCGGCTGGAGAAGGAAGAGGGGAGGCCAAGGGATGACTTGGTGGAGAAAAATGAAATCCCTCACTTCGAAGTTGGCGTCGCTTGGCGCATCTCGACGATCTTGCTGGGGTCCTAAGGACGATGAACACGTTTGTTTGGACACACTTACTGATATGACTAGGAGCCGACCCCAATGGCGTTTGTGTTATAGATTCGTTTGTCCATCCCCTTCCTGCTTAGCATCCCCCTCCAAGCATGATCTCACTCGTTAGGCCTAATATAAATTTTGCAGCACGATAGCCTGCTGTTAGCTCTCCGGAACTATGTCCATCCGTTACTGGGGACAGCCAACATGCCACTGTTATTTTCTTATTGTCTTTTGTATTGCGGCACAATAGCCGAGGTGTTTTCTACCTGCAGCTAAAGTGTATAATGAATGAATGTGTTCAGATGTTGTTATGAGGTTGAGAAGTGGACGTATATTTTTCTTACAATTCTTAGTTACCTGCTTGTGTTTCGTTACCGTTGGTTTCTTGACATTTTTTTAAATGCATCATTCCTTTGCTTTGGTTGGTCGGCCCACGACGCTGGAAATGAATGTCAACTCGTGTCTCTTTCCACTAATGCCATTTCCTCGAACTTGCCTGATTGGTTCTGACGTTCGGCACTTCTTATTCGTCTGTATTACTCAGTGTCCCGTACGTTGATGGTTGGCTGCAACGTGTTTTAGTAGCCTGGCTTTAAGTACTGCTGTGCCCTATTTAAATGAGCAGACTACTCCTGTAAAAGAACTCGGTCCTGGCTCATCTTCTTGTTCGTCTTACGGTCGTGGGTGCGTGAACAATTGGCTGGCGACATAACCGAAACGTAGCAGGTGGAAGTAAAGTTGCTAAGTTAACGTATGCACGAATGTTATCCAAGTACCCATTAGACGAATACATGAGGACCGGATAAAACTAGAGAGAAACGGCTGGGGAAAACAATAAAACGTGGTGTAATAAACAACGACCCAGTTGCAACGGGTGTGAAGGGGGGGAAATAACTCTCGAGTTACTACAAATCAGGCTGCATGCAGCGTAGGTAACAGCCATTAGCGCCAGTCTGTTAATGCGACTTTTCGTTAAATTCATCTTAATGTATTTGCTTTTTGTGTTCAGGAGTCTGTGGCAGATAAACTGCGTTTAAACAACTACACCATGCTCAACCACCTGAAGAGACTTCGTGAGCGTCTGCGACAGAAGGAAGACACTGACGAACTCCTACAGCCAGTCGATTTCGAACAGTTGAAGATAGAAAACTCGCAGTACTTGAGCAAAATCGATCAGCTAAACACTGAAATGCAAAAAGTAAAACGCATTAGCGGTCGGATACAGCAAGCGGTTAATCTTCTTAAAGTGAGTGCAGCCAACTAGTTGTCCCGTGGATTTCAGTAGAGCAGTTTGCACGAAATTTCCAACGAAAAGACGATGATCGAATCAGAAATCGCATATCGACTTGATATCACCAACAGAGTGAAAGATGAAATACGGATAGCCAAAAAGGTGAGGATAATGCTTGTAAATCTGTAGATGAGTCACAGGTTTAATGACGACGTTTAACCGGGAACAGTTTTCATTTGAAACATCAAATCATGATGATCAGTAAATGTTGATTAATACTTCACAACCGCAAAGGACTACATTAAGTTATTGCTGTAGTAAGCAATAAAACCGTTGCATTCAACGGACATTTATGGGTTGTGGCAAGAACTAGTTGTTGTGTAGAATCAAATCTATACGTGTAACCGCGTTGATCAGCCAAACGGGAACCAATTGCTGCAAGCCGGTAGCCTAAGCAAAGTCTTAAGAAACATGTTGGAATCTTAGAGGATGTAACCAGACCTAATTATCCCCCTAAAATGCTGAGATCCCGTTTTCGTGTTTTAATGGATTTCTCGGGTTATGGAAATAAAAGCTTAATTACTGTCTCCCGTCACAATTTCCAAATGTCCATATGCTTGCTTTGGGGATGTGTGAGACAATGCGCACACATAAGATGACTTACGTTAGTAGCCGTTTACCTATCAGAATCTTCCGTTCTTAACAATTACATACAACCAAATGAGCACTATACCCCTAGCATAAATCAACTTGTGCTGTCTTGGTTAAACATATCGAACGGTCGCAGGTAAGAACACCAAAAACTAAAATTACATAATTTTGCAAACCAGAATGAAGAGCCTTATGTGTTTGTATATGGTTGGCGGCATCAGGTTCGTGATTCGCCTGTCACTGCGGCCTCCATGGGAACAGTCACAGGATGCCTGCGCCTACAGAGGGGACATATGTGGCTTGTGCTGCACCACCCACAGCTCCAACCACACACCCCATATCCAGTGTAAACCCGAGGGAATAAGACCAGGAGGCATATGGATGAGCGCCACGTTTCATCAAGGGAGACGACCCATGTTCCTGCAACACGCGCGGCAGCAGCATTCCGGTCTATCTAGTGGCTGAGCCTTAGCCCGCTCCACACTAGATGGAACCATTTTTTGAGCCTAGCACGGCCACCAGGACCGTGCCACCCCGCTCCCCAACGACGATTCGTGGTTTTTAGAACTTGTAATCGAGATGGAGGGTGCTAGCAGGTAGACACCTGGTCAACTTTTACATCATGGGTAACCACATTAGGGATACCAAGCAACAGCCAACACTTAGAATGCAACAACATCAACACGGTAGTGATGATATAGCACAAGTGTCACATAGACAGCATGGGTGCCCTGGGTTAGTAAAAGGAGTTGACTCGGTAGCAGGGTACTTAACAAGCAGTGCGCTGATGATTAGCAATTCAGGTAACTCGTGCTCTCTTACAAGTTGGCCCCTTGGGGACACTCTGATTGTTTACGAGCTCGACTTGGCGGAAACACTCATGACCGCATGTCCTAGATTAACATGTGCTTGACGTCGATACGTTAAAACTCATTGACGCCTGTCGCCTCCTCAACCGACGTCTGTCCTCCGCATATAACAGTGCTTCCTGCTACTCTCCGGCAACCGCCCTCCTAATATGCCATCGCCATTCGCCCCCTATCAATGGGCTTTGATTCCCAACACCTGAAATCAACATTAGTTAGTAATAAACGCACCTTGATCGTGTCATGCTAAAGTAGATTTGGTTTTTCAACTTGCCACTTCCATGTATTAAGTTATCCATCTAGCAGATGCTTGGGTATTTGAGTCGAAACAATGCGACTGATATGCCCCAGCCAGATCATGTGCCACAGCAGAAGTATGCAGTCCAATGCATACATGCCGCTGGGTCGGAGCACCTTCGTAACTGCATTTCTGTCACCCCAGCCGATGAGCAGAATCCGCTGTAGGCACTGTTGATAGAAGCGCTCCAGATGACAAACGTACTTCTGGTACACTGTAAACGATATTCTGCCGTATAAAAGAACGGACAACAAGTAGACCGGTATACACCCAGCTCCGTCCCAACAGTAAGCTGATGATTCATCCACACATGATATTCCGGTTCGCCAAGTTCAGCAATCGCATTCGATATGCGGATGCACAGCTCGCTCGTCAACTGGAAGTCAGTTGATAGTATGCTCTCAAGGTAGCGAATTTACGATGCTGTCTCCAACGCGCCATCAGAAACCTGCATTTTGCGGCAGGCCCACGGATCCCATTTTTGGTATAGGCTGAAAAAGACAGTCTTGCTTGTGTTGATAGTGAGCCCAGACTGGACATCTGTCGAAGTGAGAGCCGTCGTCATCCGCTGCAACTCATACGAGGTGTATGCAAACAACGCACAGTCGTTAGAAAACGGTAACATACGGATGGTTGTCTCACACACTATGGTATTCGCTTGTAACTGGACAAAACATCATAGCATTTAGGTCAATATTAATCATGGCAATGGCTAAGATATGATGTTGCGTCACGCCAGAGACAACATCAAACTCATCCGAAGTTGGGTCACAAAACTGCACCTTGTCCACAAATGCCTGTGCAGCCATACAATTAGAGTTATAAAATGACTCGTAAACTAAACTTAACCAAAATCAGCCACAGTGCCTCGCAGTTCACGGAGCCAATGAACAGTTGGCAGAATATCACAAAACATGGGGAAAGGACAAGGGAAATAAACGAGGAGGGGGAGAAAAACCAGTCAGGGGAAAAGAGTCTCACAACACTTTTGTCCTTGGGTGCAGTTCCTGACCATGTCCGATATCGTATGCAATCAGCTGTACTCACTGTCATTGGGCACCCAACCTGTAAGTCTGGAATGCCCCAACATGGCTAAATGCAACATTAGCGTCTTAACACCACGGACCCAGGTCGCATGTTGGCCACCTCTTCGTGGCTTCAAACCAACGCCGGCGTATGCAAACGAAGCTCGGGGGGACCGATGAGTGTGCATACGGAGGACATGCCCGAGCCACCGGAACGCAGCAAAGAAATCATGCAGCTCAGTGGTCGGCGGAGACTGTCTGACTTGAAGATCCGACCCCGAACGTCGTCATTGCTAATACGATGTTGCCAATGTACACTAGCGATGCTCCGGAGGCAGCGGTGATTAAAAAAACAGACTGGCTTTGGACATCGCTCGCTCGAACAGGGCATGTCTCGCAGCAATGCAGGAGCACTGCTAGTATTCTATCGTTGTAGACTCGATCTTGTAAAGAAAGGCGGAGATCACGATGGCGCCAGAGATGTAGGAAGTTGGCAAAGGCTACTCTGGATTCGATGATGCGGAAATGGATCGTATCCGTTTGTCGCTAACACTGATGCAACATCCGAGGTAAATGAACTAGTTCATAAGTTCCAAAGGACAGCCAGAGAGGGTGAGGGGATGAACAGCTTCCAACCAGTCTTGGAGGAAGGCCTTGCACTTTGAAGCGGAAATGGTCACGCAGAACTGTGACAAAAACATCTCCAACCTGCGCAGCATGTCCTGGGAAACCTGAGAGGAGTCACAGATTACGGCCATGTAGTCAGCATACTCCAAGTTACAGAGCCGATCACACCTGAGTACCTCGACGCCACTACGCCCATAGTTTTCCAGAGCTCACTCTGTGATGTCATCCATAGCGAAGTTGAACAAGAAGGGGGATGCAGGTTGAAAGTCCGCAGAACACCCGCATCCGGGCCGAGATTCGAGAATAGACACTATATTAACGTACATCACGGACGCTTCCCATCTCAGTAGACAACTCCGGAGAGCAACTCTGCCAACTGAGTCCAATGCTGCACGTATGTCCAGGAAGCAGACGACGGTAGGCCGGCTGAAAGCACGACCGTGATCAAGCGTCCGGCAGGTCGTAAAGACATGAACAATACAGCCCCAAACCTGGAGGAAACCCAGCCTGTTCTTCACGTATGTACTGTTCGGGTACTCGATTGAGCCTCTGTGAAAGCAGAGAGGCTAACATTTTGGACGCAACGCATAGAAGGCTGATCCCTCTAGTTTGCTATATATATATATATATATATATATATATATATATATATATATATATATATATATATATATATATATATATATATATATATATATATATACAAGGATGCGGCTAGTTTTCGCCTGACAAGCTTTCGCCATACAAAAGTCCACACAAGTCTGCATCACATCACTGCGACATGGCGGATGTGACTCCTCGTTAAGTAGAGTCACTGCCCATTGCTTCATTCCGGTGGATCATTACACTCCAGCAAATGTGGGTTGATTTCATGGAGAGGACTGGATGTAGAAAATGAGCACAGTTGTCAGATCCCAATGGGCACCATTCCCTGAATTCGACTTATTGCGTCGCACGTAGACAAGGTGCCAGAGTGGTCCCCTAACTCAACTCCCTGCTGTGACTTGGGCAACCGGGTACTATCATGCCAAATGATGAAACCATGTGCCATTCATTTGCTTTATCACGCTCAATTTCTCTTGCTTCCGCTACTCATGCACGTTTCCACACTTCACTTATTCATTTTGATAGAACCCAAGGGGCAGGCGGTAATTGTTTATTGTTAAAGTGGCTTTACGCTAGGTGTGTTCGTACATACCTTGGAGGCGTCAGCTCATCTGCGTGATCTCCATGGAGTGTTCCCCAACTGGGGTTGTGAAACCTGGCCGCTTAAAGCAACGGACCTGAAGAGGCTAGTTACGTTCGACCACCGGTGCCTTCGTAATTTAGCTCACATTTGGTGGGAACACCGCGTGAGCAGCGAGCGTGTTCGATGCCTTGTTTATGGTAGAGGAAAAGGAAATGAACCGCTCAGCACCGTTATTTCACGCATCAGGCTCCGATGGCTCGGCCACGTGTTACGCATGCCAGCCCACCGACTTCCGCGACGTGTGTCGTTTGCGCGCCGGGGTGTGGATGGAAGAAGAGGAGGGGTGGCCAAGCGATGACTTGGTCGAGAGGAATGAAGGCCTTCACTTCTGAGCTGGCCTCGGTTGGAGCATCTCGGCTCCCTGGTTGGGGTCCGAAAGACGATGAACACGTTTGGTTGGACACACTTGCTGATATGGCTAGGAGCCGACCTCAGTGGCGTTCGTT